TGGACACCTTACACAGGACCTGGTTCTCCTAGGACAAAGTCGTTATGGTTCAATTGAGGCTTCATTTCCCCCATTTGGGTGTCTCTGAGGGCTCTCCTATCCCTGAGAGGTTGTCTCAGGCCAAGATTCCCTCAGTAAGGACCCAGCTTTGAAGCAGAATAAAGAGCCTGGTGCCCGTCTGCATAGGGTATTTTTGCTTTTATGATCCAGTTTCTGCTGTCAAATAGTGAAACAGCATGGTGATTCTCAGTGGAGAGGGAGGGCAGTTGCTGCCTGAGATCATCAATGCAGTGGGGCTCTGAGCATGGCGACACTGAGGCTGCAGCTGCTGGGTGATGCTCACTGTTTGTCCATCTCCACGGAGCCAGCATCTCCAGCTCTGTGTATGTGATACGCATTTTCCCTCATTGCTTCCCCAACAGCAAAGTTCATTCACACTTAGTGCAGATGCCTGAGGTCCTGTCTGTGACCCTAACTTTACTACCTATGCTCGGGCACCCAGACCACCTTGCCCTCTGACGTGATGACCAGGAGCATGGTGGATCACATGCACATTTGCTGTGCTTAGAGGAAGGAATGCTCAGGAGAAGTGTGTGGGCAGAGGGCAGAGAGTGGACCATGGGGACAGTTGCTGTCAGCTGTAGTAAGAGGACTGCAGGTTGTGGTAGGTGTTTCCTGTGCTGTGGTAGAGTTTGTCCAGTAGACAGGCTAGTGCGCCCATGTGGACAGTGAGTTGTTGGGAAGAAGCTAAGATGCACTCCTGACCTGGACCATGACAAGAGCACATGCAGTGATGGGGCTGCATGAGGAAGAGGTCCCAGGGTGCTCAGAAACAGAACTGCATGGACTGGGATCAGTGCTCAGGGGTCTCTGTGAGTCACACCAAAGCCATCATAGGCTATGACCACAGACAGAGTTGACAGACATATTTAAGTAGAATCTGAGATTGCAGGGTGAGAATCCTCTTGAGAAGGGCCTGGTATGCATGTGAGAGGAGACGGGAAGACAATGGACAATGATTTGAGGACAAATAATATTCACTGGGATAAGGGAAGTGGAGAAAGCAAGGAGCGGAAAGCTGATCAAGAGGATTCCTACCCAGACTGGGATGAGAAGGGAGAAGCCCACAGTGCAGTGCTAAGGAAGGACAATACCTGCCACATGGAGGAGGCTGATAAGGAGGGGGAGGTGATCGTGTGTATGCACGAGCTCCAACTTGCATATAAGCACCCAGGAGTGCTTGAGAGGTGACTGAACTGATCTGGAGATCAGGTGAGGAAGTGTGTGTGTGTGTGTGTGTGTGTGTGTGTGTGTGTGTGACAGAGGTGAATATATACTCAGGCAGTGGCCAGTACATAGTTGTTGGACATAGAGAGAGACCTGTAAGGGACACTGGACACATCCATGGATAAGCAATTGGACAGCTAGGTGAGAGAGGATAGATGCATGGGTGTCTGTTGGAGATGAATATATATGCAGTGTATGTGCAGTTGAGGAAAGAAATTTTGTGCAAACACTTTAATATACATGTTTTGGGCCACTGTGAGATTAAAATATAGAAGTTACCTTTGGCCTCTATAATTATAAATGGTGTGGACAGTGTTGGCATCTACATTTACATGTAGCCCTCACAGTGCTGGCCATTGGCTTGCAGACATTTATGAGTACAGGGAACTGCTGCAGTGCCATACATTTGTTTCTGCCACATTTTGTACAACTAGGAACACAGTGAAGAAGAATCTAGGTGCCCTCCAAACACAGGTGTTTTAGCGATGACCGGATGCAGCCAGGGGAGCAGACTCTGCTCATCCAGGGAGACTGAGCTGTGGGATCCAGTCCCAGGCAGGTGGTGTCTGATGCTGAGGATAGGTTCAGACCTCACAATGACCCCCATTCCAGCTGAGGGGCAGAAGCTCCTGCACAGGCTGGTGGCACCTGTCAGGGGAAGGAGTGGCCTGGGTTCACACCCAAGGTGACAGCTCAGATCCTGGCTCTGTCCCCAGCTACAGATGAGCAGTTTGGCAGCCTTGGGAATGGGTCAGGAACACTCCTTCCCCACAGTCCTAGGGGTCTTGTTCTGTTTGCGGGCTCATCTGCCCATTTTCTTCTGGGCAGTAGCAGCAGCTGTGGTTTCACAGGGAGGTCCTATGAGCATCTTCTGCAGGGCCCTCCAGGTGTGACTGCAGTAAGTGTGGGTCATGGAGAATCTTAAAAAGTGGTGTGACAGATACCTGGAGGAAGCCTGAGAGGTGATGGTCTTCTCCCTGAAGAATGTGCCAAACTGATATGGGGATTTATTCCTGTGAATACTCAAAGCGAGAAATCTGGTCAAGGTGCAGTGAGTCACTGGAAGTGGTGGTGACAGGTGGAAACAGCATGACCCACCTAGTTCTCTCAAGTCCCCTTCCTGGTGCAGATGGTCACTATGGATGCCCTGCCTAGGCTCTGCCCCAGCCATGGGGCTACCCCTCCGTTTTTGCTGCCTCTGGTCCCATCTCCCTCAGAGAGGAAACTGTAATGCCCAGGAGTCACCACATGGGGACAGACACCTGGTCTTCTCTGGTCCTGGCTCCTTGGAAATGAGAAAGCAGAAATTTTGGGTTTCATGTTCCCGATGCCTCACCGTGGCAAGTTGTGAGGTCCTTTTCAGTTTCTTAGTACTCTCTCAAGTCATGGGAAGGTGGGACTATTTTAATAATAACATTAATATCAGGCTCTATTCCCTTTCTGGTGTCTACATCCCTTACTGCTCACTTAGGTGTCCTGGTGGTTTCAGAAAGAAACAGAACTCTCCTGTGTCAGTCCCTGTACTCCTATGACACTTTCATCCTGTGCGGAGGAGGAGGAGCTTTCTTCCCCCAGGACTGTTCTTATCAGAACCTCAGCTCTTTCCTCATCTCCCTGTGAGCCTGGACCAGGCTGGGACCTACACGTACTATGGCTCTCAGTCACAGCCCTCAGCTGTGGTCCCTGTCCAGTGATCCCCTTCACCTTTCTGTCACATTTGAGTGAATTTATTTCATGTTAAGTGAAGTCTCTATGCTGGGACATTTCAGGTGTGCTCTGTGTTGTCACCATGGTTGTTAGTGTGGCTGTGCACTCTATCCCTCATTCTGTCTAAACAATTGTACTGATTCATATACCCTAAATATCAGTAGTCATTTCCATGGTCTGTGGCAGGCAGAAGGAAGTTGTTCTGGGTAAGAGAGATCTCCACGGTGTTACAGAAGCAATGTGTGATCTAGGAACCGCCTCGGGTGCATAGTGAGAGATGATGCAGCACTCAGGCACTGCCTGTGTGGCCGCAGCACTTCCCACCCCCAACAAGTCCCTTTCTTTGTGTGGTTGACAGCAGAAGCATCACCAGCTGCAGGTGAGAGGAAAGTGAAAGGTTCTGCCTCAGCTTCTTCACTCTAGAGTGCAGATCTGTGGCATCTTCCCAGCATTGCTCTGTCAGGGCACCACTGAGTACGGCCCCCCTGTGTCTGGGTGATGCTTTTGAAAGTTTAGGCATTAAGTGAGGCGTGTGCTGAATCCTCCTCGGATTCACGGACACCTAGGCCCGGGGTTCCCTGCCCTGTCCCAAGTGTGCATGGAAGCTCCAGGACTTGCCTTGTAGACAGGATTCTCGGCCTGTGGTCAGAATGTGCTTCTGAGACTCAGGATCCCAGTGATCCTCAGGGGTGCAGTGTGTGTGGTGGATGTCACACTGCTGCTTGCTCCCAAAGCACCACAGCTGAGGCTCCTCAGGCATTAGGGTCCCAGAGGAGGTTCTAGGTAGATGTGGACTTTCTGCTCCAGCAGTGAGTTACTCTGCAGGACACCGGTAACAAGGAGGGCACACCCTTCCTATTCAATGAAGATTCGCGTTCACCCTAATAGGGATGAGGTTCCCATGGATAGGACCTGGAATGAGGAGCTGGTTTGTAGCTGAACTGACATGGGTGCAGTAAATCACGGGTGTTTTCCTTTTTAAACGCATTGCTGAAGAATCCCTGTCAGGTGAAAAGATGGTGAGGATGGGCACTCATCTTTCAGGGCAAGGCCATCCTTCTGCAGCTCCTCCCACCCCTGTGCTATACTTACAGTTGTGGTATGTTTGTAGGAACCTGTGTATGAGAGCTCCTGTCTTAAGAAGTGTACTGTATGGAAAGAGGGTTTTCCTGTGTAGTTCTAGGTTCAGAATGGATCAGGAAAATCCTTAGATATCCCAAGACTACTCCACAGCATTGGTCTCCAGACTTCTTGTGCCCCACTCTCCCTCCTCTGTGTACTCAGAGTTGCTGTCTGCTGAAGATAGCCTACCCTATGTTGTTATGGGAGATTCCACACATGGGACCAAATTTTTCTGGACACATTTCTCCTTTTGCTCTGTAAATCCTGCAGAGTTATCATATGGCAGATCTGCATATCCCAGTGCACATCCCTACACACGTTTTCCTAAAGATTTTTTCTGCAAAACCAGAGCAGGAAATGCACAGCGGAACTCAGACTAAGCCTAGAGAAGTAGGAGGGGGTGGAGGGCAGGGACTGGCCTTGTGAAAGAGCAGCTCCTTCCTGTTTAGTAACTGATCCCGTCACCCTGTGACAGGGATGGGCCCGCAGTCTGCCCATCTTCTGGTGTCCACTACTGTGATTGTGTGAGCAGGCCCCTAGTCCACTGAGGAGATCTGGCTGAGGCAGCACCATGTCTCCTGGCCTCGCTCTGTTGCTTGGATTCAGTGAGTGCTACAGGGAAGCCAGGAGGGTAGGTGGGAGGGTGAAGAACTCAGAAGCCAAATCCACCACCTGGGCTCTTCCCATGGCTCTTTGTCTGTGAGCTCCTGGCTGGTGGTAGATGAGACTTTGGCTCCCTGACCCCAGCTCTGTGTCCTGAGCCCAGGACTGAGGGTCACTGGGTCCCAGGCAGAAGCCTCTCACCAGATCTCTCTGTTTCAGTGTCTGCCCTGGAGCAGAAGATCTGGGTCCACAGTGGTGAGTTTCCCTGCCTTCCATGCTGGGGCTTCTGAGTGAGGCTGTGCTGAGGGTGGGAGGACCCTGAGGGTCTTGGGCTGAGGCAGGAAGGAGCCTGCCCTGTGCTGCCATCCAATCTTCCCTGATGAGCCTCCCACACTTCCACGGCCAGCACAGGTGAGATGTACTGTGTAAGTAGCACAGGTCTGGAGACCTCACACCAGACCTGGTCCCACAAGGACACAGTGGTCATGGTTTGGATCAGGCTGCATTTTCCTCATTTCATGTCTCTGGGGATGTTTCTGACTTGGTTTTCCCTTGGGAGTTATATCAGGCCAAGTTTCCCTTAGTGAAGACACAGACTAGAATTGCGATGCAGTTCCCCATGTGTGTCTGCTCTGCGAGGCTTTGTGAAGATTATTTTTGCATTTTCCCTAGTTCCTGCTCTCCAATAGTGAAATAGCAAGGTGATTCACAGTGGAGACAGAGGGCAGATGCTGTCTGAGATCGTCAGTGCTGTGGTGTTCTGAGCGTGGTTGCACAGAGGCTGTAGCTACTGGGTGATGCTCACTGTTCCTCCATCCCCAGGGAGCCAGCATCTCAAGTGCTGGGTGTGTGATTTTCATTTTCCCTCACTGCTTTCCCAAGAGCAAAGTTCATTCCTGGTTAGTGCAGAGGCATGAGGCCCTGCCTGTGACCCTAACATTACTAGCTGTATTGGGGAGCGGCAGACAGCGTTGGGCTCATAGGTGATGTCCAGGAGCCCAGTGAATCATGTGCACCCCTACTGCACTGGGGGGAGGTGATGTTGAGGAGATTGTGAAACCAGAGGGCAGAGAGTGAGCCATGGAGATAGTTGCAGATGTCAGTTACAGGAGGAGGACTGCAGCTTGTGGCGGTGTTTCCTGTGCTGTAGTACAGGATGTCCAGGGGGAAGGCTCGATCCCTGGTGGGCATGCTGAGACGTTGAGGAGGAGCTGAATGTGAAGACCCTGCCTTAGCCATGACCAGAGTGTGTGCAGCGATGGGGCTGCATGTGGATGAGGTCTCAGTGTAACCAGCACTCACAGAGATGCATGGAGCAGAGTCAGTGCTTGGGATTCTCTGTGACTGACACCAGAGCCACCACAGCTGTGACAGAAGACAGAGATGACAGATGTATATAAGTAGAATTCCAGGCTCCATGGTAAGGATGGAACTCGGGAAGGGGCTGGGGTTTATGTGGGAGGAGACAGAGGAATGGACTGGACAATGGTTTAAGGAGACATAAGATCCCAAGGGCCCAGGTCAGTAGGGACAGCAGAGAGTGGAAATGAATTGATAGGATTCCTTCCCATGCTGGGATGAGAAGGGAGAAGCTAGCAGTGCAGTGCTAAGGAAGGACAATGCCTGCCACATGGACGAGGCTGATAAGGAGAGGTGATCGTGTGTATGCAGGAGCTGCAGTTCGCACATTGGCCCTCAGAAGTGCTTGAGAGATGAGTGAACTGCTCTGGAGATCAGGTGAGGGAGTGTTTGTGTGTGTGTGTGTGTGTGTGTGTGTGTGTGTGTGTGTGTGTATGTGTTTGTGTTTGTGTGTGTGTACATGTATGTGTGACACAGATGTGAATGTATACTCAGACAGTGGGCAGTATAGAGATGCTTGATGTTGAGGGAGATGTGTAAATGATGCTGCACTAATCTGTGGGTAGGTAAATGGGTAGCTAGGTGAGAGAGGCTGGATGCATGTGTATCTGCTGGAGATGAATGTATTCGCAGTGTATGTGCACTTGAGGAAAGAAAAACTTGTGCAATAATTTAATGCTATATGTATTGGCCATCATGAGATCAATAGAAGTTATCTTTGACCTCCAGATTTGCAAGGAGCACTCACAGTGCTGGCTATTTGGTTCTGGAAATTTGTAGGTACAGCAAACTGCTGAACTGTCACACATTTGCTTTTGCCACTCTTTATATAAAAGAGAAATACAGTGAGGAAGGAACCTATGTGCACTCCAAACACAAGTGTTTCAGCAGTGAGTAGAATCAGCTGGGGAGCAGACTCTACCCACCAGGAGGGACTGAGCTGTGGGCTCCTGTCCCAAGTAGGTGGTGTCAGAAACTGATAAGTTCAGACCCCACAAAACTCCCCTTCCAGGTGAAGGGCAGAAGCTCCTCCACTGCTTGGAGGCATCTGTCAGGGGAGGAGTGGCCTGGGTTCACACCCAAGGCGACAGCTTGGATCCTGGCTCTGTCCCACATTTGCAGCGTGAGCAGCTTGGGAATCTTGGGAATGGAGCAGGGGCCTCTCCTTCCTCTCAGTCCTCAGGGTCTTGTTCTGTTTGCAGGCTCATCATCCCAGCCCTGTATCTGGGCAGTGCCAGCAGCTGTGGTTCCCCAGGGAGGTGCTGTGAGCATCTTCTGCAGGGTCCCTCCAGGGGTGACTCTGGTACGTGGTTTTCATCGAGAACCTGTAGGAGAGTGGCATGACAGACTCCCAGAGGGAGCCCGAGAGGTGATGGCCTTCTCCCTGAAGAAAGTGACACAGACCGATGCAGGGATTTATTCCTGTGAATACTGGAAGCAAGAAATCTGGTCAGGACACTGTGAGCCTCTGGAGCTGGTGGTGACAGGTGAGAACCTCATGGATACTGTGCCCTACCGGAATCTCTGAGGCCCCCTCCTTGGTCCAGATGGGCCCCAACACAGACCCTCTCCCAACTCTATCTCAATCATGAGGCTTTCCCTCCCTAGGTTCCTGTGATCTTTGCTTCCTCACAGTGAAGCCTGGAGTCCCCAGGAGCCAAAACATGGAGACAGCCACCTATTCCTCTCTGTTTCTGGCTCCTGGGAAATTAGAAATGAGGAATATTGGGTCTGCTGGTCCTGATGCCTCACTCTGTGGTGAGGTGTGAGTTCTTTCTCAGCTTATTTGTTCTTTCTAGTGTCATGAAAATGTGGGACTATTCTAATAATGAGATTAACATCAGACTTTATTCCCTCCCAGGCATCTACATGGACAAACCTTCGCTGACTTCTCACCCAGGTGCCCAGGTGGCCTCAGGAGTAAACGTGACTCTCCTGTGTCAGTCTCTGTACTCCTATGCAACCTACATCCTGTGCAGGGGAGGAGGAGCTTCCTTCCCTCAGGACTGTTCTCGTCAAGACCACGACTCCTTCCTCTTCTCCCCTGTGAGCCTGGATCAGGCCGGGACCTACACATGCTATGGTTGTCCCAGTCACAGCCCTCAGCTGTGGTCCCTGCCCAGTGACCCCCTTCAGCTTTCTGTCACTCGTGAGTGCCTTTACTTTGCACTAAGGGAAATCTGTGGTGGGAATGTCAGGTGCTCTGTGTGGTCAGCATGGTCACTGTTAGTGTAGATGTGCAATGTGTCCTCGGCCTGTCTAATCCACTCTTGTTCAGTTTTAGACCCTGAACATCACTACCTAGTACCAGGGTTTTTGGGAAGCAGAAGTAAGTTGCTTGGTGGAAGAGAGATCTGTAGGGTGTTACAGAAGTAATGTGTGATCTACCTAGTGACAACTCCGGAGAGCAGGTGAAATCTGATACAGCACTCCCCTGCTCCCTGTGTCCCCGCAGTAGCCCTTCCCATGCCTGTCCCTCTCTGTGTGTGGGTGACAGCAAGGGCATCACTAGCTGTGGTAAGAGGTGAGTAAAAGAGTCTGCCTCAGTTTCTTTATTCTGGGTGACTTTCTTGGTTTTTGCTTCACCTGCACCTTTCTGAGATGATGCTGTGACCACAGTGGGTGTTTATGGCCATCAGGACAATAAGAACATAAGGGGACATTTATGGTCATATTCACAAGATGGATTTCTGGTCCTGATCCTATGGGGTCACACAGGAAGGGACAGCTCCTACCTCCTTGTTTGATGGGACTGATCTCTGTGTCCCTTAGAATTTCCAGATAGCTGGGGCTTCTCACAGTCAAGGCAGAGAATGTGCCCCAGGCCGGGGAGCAGAGGCAGAGCCCAGAGGCATGAAATTTCTTTCAGATGCGTTAAGGAAACTGTAGGTAACTGAAAAGGACAGAGCATGGGCAGGAGGAGGCAGGAACCCAGGAAGAACTGGCAGGGATAGAGTAGGGAACAGAGCAGTGTGGGGCTGAGGTCTGTAGAGGCGTGTTGGGAGGTCTAAGCATTTCCAGAGTCTGGGCTGCTGATGGCCATTGGTCTTCTCAACCAGGGAGAAATGGCCCATGAACCTCTGGGTTCTTTATCCAATGGAGGATTTGCCATTGACTCTGGTAGCTACTTAGTACCTGCAAGGAGCCCTTCATGGACAGATGTCCCCACCTTCCCTCCCTCTCCTGTCTCCATCCCAGGAGCCCCTGAGTGTCTTCTCCATGCAGTGTCTATCAGTGGTCCTTGCTCTCCACATTTTACACTCAGAGTCCTCATTTCTATCCTTCAAACCCAGTGATTTCTGTGTTCTTCTCAGGCCAAGATGACCTGTCACCAGCTACCTGCAGCGTGGTCCCTAATTGTCTCCTTTTCCCCTGGACTCTTCAATCTACTCATCACTCAGAAAATCACCCAGTCTTTTATTATAATTCTTTAAAATATTCATTATATTGGTACATTTTCTATATGCACAATGATCACATTCAGCAAGGAGGACTTTGTACCTACAAAATATTCCTTTTTTACATTACCTTTCCCTCCTTTGTGCCCCTCTCTCCTTCTTCACAAGATCTTTTTCATTTTTTTTACTCTATTCCCCCCACTTTCTTACTTTTCCTTTTTGTCTATTTTCCCAAGCTTTGAAAATTTTCCTCCCATTTCCCAGTATTTATTATACATTTTGGTCCTCTCTAGCCTCTTTGGTTTTCCACATCAGAGACACCATGCAACGTTTACACACACGTGTTCTATTTGTTTCATTTAAGAGTAAAAAGGCAGCCTTGGAAAGCAGCAGAGTATGCCTTCCCTGCCCATCCCTCTGCAGGTCAGTGCTGTCCTTAGACTCCTTGTCCCCAGGTCCCAAGCTCAGCTGGCTGTCCTTGAGGTCACCATGTCCTTCGGGAAGCACCGTCCTCCTCAGTTTCCCCTGTGCCTCCTCCTCTCAGCTGTATGCCTGCTGTTCCCATCTGGGTGCCTCTCATCTTTCTGAGCTCACATCCTTGAGTGAATCTTCCCTAGTGGCATTAGATTTTCCCTCCATGGAGTTTATCTCACTGATTATGTGTCTGTCACAATGTGGTTTTTTAATTGTTGTTGTTGGTTTTGCTGTAGTTTCCCAAACATTTAGTAACTCACTTGTGTTAGTTGGACACTCTAAGTGTTTCTTGGCGGGGCTGATTAATCCAGCAGGAGCTCATCAGCTGCTCTTCACCCTTTGTGACTCCTCAGGTTCCACTGCTCCCATTGCCCTAGTGGCCTCAGTGGCTGCTGCCTTCCTTCTCCTTGTCCTGCTGCTGCTGCTCCTCTGCCTCTGCAGGCGTAGGTGGTGTCGAGCCAAATGCAGTAAGTCCTGGGGTGCAAGGGCTCATCTGGAGGCATGTGGGGAGGGTGACTGGGTGGGCCCCCTAAAACTGATCACTGTCTCCTGGTAGGTGCTGCATGTGATGGGAACAAAGTCCAGATGAAGCATGAGAGGTGAGATAATTTACTCCCCAAAGTTTTAAAATCCAATGTTTTATGATTTCTTGGACTCTGTTGGTATTTATGTCTTCTTCCTCTCAGTGCCAGCTCATTCATGCAGATCCAGGGAAAAAATAAAGGTAGTGACCTGAGAAGCAGACACCTCAGGGTGGAAAGTGAACCTTCAGGTGAGGTGGGGAGGTGCCCAGGGAGGGCAGAAGATGTGCTCCCTCCCTCTGTGACCTCTCTGTCCTTTCCTGGGCTTTAGGGCCAGGCTCTGCAGTGGGGCGCATGGGGCTGGGGGATGAAGAGGTGCCTGCAGGATGCCCACTCTGTCTCTCCATGCAGGTGACGACTTGGCACACACTGAGCCTGAGGCAGACAGACAGAGGGACACACAGGTGAGCCCTCCCTTCCGCCTCCTCTCTCTCCAGCCCCCCAAACCCCTGCATGGCTCCACACTTTGTCTCTGGATGCCAGGTCCCTGCATCGGCCGAAGACACACAGGAGGTGACCTACGCCCAACTGCATTCAAGGAAGCCCGGGGCCAGCATGGACAGTCTTCTCTCTGGAGACCCTGAGGCCCCGTCCATGCAGTCCTGTGTGTATGCTACCCTTGCCTTGTCCTGAGGGCATGGCATGGACCACTGTGCATGGTGCTCCTGGCTGGGCCTTGAGGGTGCAGCCTGTGCCCTGGCTCCATGCCTTTGGTGGGGTCCCTCAGGAACTCTCAGGAGGGCCATCAAGTTGGGGGCTTCTGGTCCCTCTGTCGAGTTCCAGGGACTTGTGCAGTCCCCAGCTGGCTATGGGTCCACCATGTGTCTCCAGAGGCTAACTGTTCCCACTAGACCTGGGATCCATCTTCTGCTGCAGGGAGAGATCAGCCTCGCGTGGAAGAGGGGGCAGCATGGCCAAGGCTCTCTCAGGAACCAGGACATCTGGGGTTTCTGCCACAGCAGTGCTGCTCTGCTGTGGTCCAGGTGAAGACCAGAGGAAAGCAGCCTTGGTGTCCTGGTCATGGCTCTGTGAGGTTGCTGCTGCAGTGCATGGAGAGTGGGCATCCCACAAGGAAGGAGCTGAATCCTGTCCCAGAAGAGAGCTGGGAGGGACACCCGGAGCTTAGTTGCTGATTTCTATAGGGACTTGCATCTTTTTTCCATGAGGCTGCACCCGTGCATACGCAGTGCACATGCAGCACACACGCAGTGCACTTGTACTGTGGAAGGGCCTCCTTTTGTCCATACCCTGGCCTGTACCTCCTCTCTTCCAGTTTGGCTGCATTCACTCCATGAGCACACTGCTGTTGCCCCATATTTTTCTTTTTAAATTTTATTTAAAGAAAGACAGAAAACGGGTAGAAATAATATATACTTTCAAAGAAAAAATAAACAGTAATAAATCACCAGTTGATGTTTACATCTTGTCCTCTTACAAATAATTGTTCAAGATACAAAAGTGGAACATATAAATGGGAATTCAAACAGTGAGACTGCAAATAGTTCTGTTCAACTATCTAATAAAAACTTAGTAATATGGTTATCAATCCTATATATTAAAACATACATACAGTTATCCATATCTTCATTTATGTTGAGATTAAACAATCCAAAGCAGGCTAAAATCACTCTGAACAAAGAATAATAGTATTGCTGGATTTCACATCATGACACTCCAGAATCAGCGCTGGGTCCTGTAGTGCCTTTTTTTTCTTCAAAGTATTTGTTCATTTCATCATGTGTCATAAGATGAGCTCTCATAAACTGTTTATAGGTTTTATGCAAGCATGAGTCTTAACATGTATTTCTATCCTTTCTATATTAGAAGGAGAAACAGAACAAAGCAGGACACAACAAAACATATTCCTGTAGACACATAAAACTAAAAAGACATATAAAACTGCTGCATAAAGAGTTCTACCATGGTCACTGTGCTGTCTCTTGTTATCATCAATAGAATTAGCTATATCATCAGACATAGTATTAATAGAAATACAACTTTGTAGATAGTGTAGAACTACAAAAACAGGTATTAATCAAACCAGAATGGGTATGGTAGTGAATCACTGTCATTTTCAGTATAGTTGTCTATACGCTCAGACTTCATACTATCAACCTTAACAGTTTTGAATAAAATCTGTCAATAACAAACAGCAATCAAACAAATGAGATTTAACTAAGATCAGTCATGATGTAACAGTATAAGTTATACAGGGATCCAGATTAAATTAATAGGAAATTAAAGATGGTTACTGTGTTATATCCTGATATTTTTGGGATAGCTGTCTGTGCCTTCAGATCTAGTGCTTGTATACAAACTAGGATGGAATAAGTTTTATCTAAGTGGAGTGGTGCGAGTAATATGGGTTTTAATTCCTGATACACTATTAGCAATATCTTCTGCTGTCTTTTAAAAAGACTATTCCTCCCCTTTCACTCTCCCAGGATGTACTGTGCATTTTTGGGTCTCCCCAACACCCTCAGTTTTATATTGAGGGGGGGCAACCTGCTATTTACCTAAGTGGTTCCAAACCTTCTGCCTCCTGGACTTGATCTCTAGTTGTATTTCTTTACCTATTAAATCCTGTCTTTCCAACCTATCCATAAATACTTGTCCAGTTGTCCTTATTACTCTCTGGCTCCCTATCATGTAGAGCATTGTTTTATCATATTTGATTTTTGGTCCATATACTCTTCTTCAGGTTAATTATATTTCCCATAAAGAGCATCTCAGTGGACCCTACATCTTGACCCACTCTGCCTGTGATTCTCTCTTTTTTTCCTTAAGTTAGTGTATCTAGGCCATCTATATTAAAAATTATATCCAACCTTCTCTGCCTCATTTCTGTTGTGCTCTTTTTCCATCATTAGTTGTCTGTTTGTCTTCTTCATTTTGCTTTCTGCTCCATTCATTGAGGCCTCTCTGCCACTGTTCCTGAAATCCTGGTGCTTTTCTCTCTCAGTAGAATGTCATTCAGTATTCTCTGTAGAGTTGGATTGGTGGTTGTGAATTCCCCAAGTTCCTCCTTATCTTGGAAGCATCTTGTTTCTCCATTAATTTCTTTTTTTTTTATTTAAGAGGAAAAAGAGAAAAACACAAAACAAAACAAAGCAGTGTAAGGTTACACATAATACAGAACTACAAAAAAAAACATAACAGTAAGAAATCACCTGTTAATAGATTACATATTATCATCTTGGAAATAGTTGCTCAAATCACAGTATCAAAGAATACAAAGTAGACATTCAAACAGAGAGACTGCAAACAGCTGTGTTCAATGATCCAAAAACATTAATATAGTCAGCTATTTAACACCCTTGCTGTTATATCCGTTAGAGCTCTTTTTTTTTTCCTCTCTCTCTTTTTTACAACAAAATTTACACATTTTGGATTTTATTACTCCTTAGTTCTTATTACTTTTTTTTGTGGGGGAGAGAATAAAGTCAAATATGGCAAAACAAAGCTGTAAGTCAAAACCAAGGATAGACATCTCCATTAATTTCTAGAGACAATTTTTCAGGGTACATCAATCTGAGCTGGAGGTTATTTTCTTTCAGGGCTTGGAATACTTGGCTCCACACTCTTCTTGATTTGATGGTTTGTGTGGAGAAGTCTGCTATAATTCTGATGGGCTTTCCCTTGTAAGTAATCTGTTTCTTGTCTCTGACAGCTTTTAATATTCTGTTCTTATGTAGGATTTCTGGGATCTTGATTATTATATGCCTCAGTGTAGTTCTGTTTTGGTTGTAGATGGCTGGAGTTCTCTATGCCTCATAGATCTGAACATCATTTCCTTTTCCTATGTTTGGGAAGTTGTCCTTAATTATTTCTGTGACTAGCCTTTGTAGTTCCTTTGTTTGTACCCTTGCTTCTTCATTCACATTCTTTATTCTTAAGTTATAGATCCTGTTGTCGTCTTCTAGCCTTTGTATTGTTACTGCTTGTTTCCTTGTTATTTTTAAGAAATTTTTCCTTTCATGATCCCAATTGCAAACCTGTCCTCCAGTTTAGATAATCTATCTGTAGTTTCTTTCTTTCTTTCTTTTTTAATCAGTACTGGGGATCGAACTCATGACCACACACTTGCAAGGCAGGCGCTTATGCTGCTGAGCTAAATCCCCAGCCCCATATCCTTAGTTTCTTTCATGCAGTTTTGCCAGCTTTCAATGGAGTTTTTAATTTCCTGGTAATCTCTTTGAACCTGCTTCATTTATTCTATGTTTTCTTAATATTCTTCATCAAATGAGTCTCCTCTTTTTCTATGTCCCTCCATTCTTCCATTTGTGTCTTCTTGAGACATGCTTAGCATTTCTTTTATTAATTTATTTATGTCTTGCTTCATTTGGTTAAATGTTTAACTTTTGAACTCATCTATGAGGTCCTGAAGATATCACTTTATGTTCACTGGTGCCATGTCTGATATTGCATGTTTGTCATCCTCAATCTCTTTTGCATTTATCTTTCCTGGATCAGTGTTCTCAGGGTTGGGGGCTGGGGACCCTTTCTCATTGCTTCCTCTTCTCATATTTTTTGTTCCATCCATAGAGGTATATATATCTAGGAGGCACCAGTTTCTTTCTTTGTTGGTTACAGTTTGTCTGAAGTGCACTGACTAGGTGCTCCTGCCCACTGCAGTGTACTATGGAGGTACAAACAGGGGCAGCATATGCTGGCCCCTCCACTCTGGGTCAACCTGCTGAGAGGCCTTCACTGCATTAGGGTGCGCTGCCAGGTGTAGTGAATTGGTTGGGATAACTTATTGGGTCTCAGCCCAGGGCATGACCCAGGGCAAGCACACCTTATCAATCCCCCTTGAGAAGGGAGCAGTTGACTGAAGTCACTGCTGCTCCTTGTTCTTGCCAGTCTGCCCGGCCCCAGAATGTCATGTGTTGGGGAAACCTTTTTCTGTGAAATGGTTTTATTTCTGGCACTCACCAAAGGTCGATGCAGGTTCCTCACCAGCTCAGCTCTCTGTACGGCTCACCAACTCCCGGCCTCAGTGTGAGTGCATCTCCAGTGAGTTGAAGCAGCGGGTTTTCAGGTAGCTCGGTAAGTCTTGGCTGTGCAAGTTCAAGCACTGCAGCAGGAGCACCGAGCCTTTAGCTGTTCCAATAGTAGCACAGGTACTGTATGTTTCCTTGGTTTCTCTCAGCTTAGTTTGTTTCTGGATCGGGAGGATCCATCTCCCCCTGTTTAGGATTCCCCACACTGTATTATTTTTGGAATCTTATCTCAGGGAGCCTCTGTAGCCTGTTGTTATCTATCTGTCATCTTTACTGGATGTGTTTTTCTTTTACATCCACCAGGTGATGAGTGATGTTGAGTCTTTTTTTAAATAATCTTCTTGAGAAAGGGTCTCGCTATACAGCTCAAGCTGGCCTTGAACTCACTTTGTGGTCCAGGCTGGTCTCCAATTTGCAAGGATCCTCCTGGCTCAGCCTCCAGAGTGCTGGGGTAACAGGGGTGTGGCACCATGCCTGGTGTTAAATGTCTTTTCATACACTTACTGGTCGGCTCCAGAGCTTATTTGAAAAAAGAAATAAAATTCAGGTCTCTTGCACATTTTGAAACAAGGTTATTTTTCTGTGTTTGACTCGTTTGAGTTCTTTTGGGTATTAGCTTCAAATTAGGTGGGAAAATCGATCACATGATGAAGAATGCATACCAGCAGTGCTTCTGTGCCTTTAGGAGCAAAAGGATCCTGCAGTGTGGCCACACGGGGGAATCTGGAGAGAGGCTCGCTGAGAGTGCCGATCCTAGGACAGAAAGGCAAACAGTGCATGATTGCACTGTGTGTGGGCCCTCCCAAGAAGGTCAGGGGCACATAAACCAAAACTAGAGTGGGGGTCACAAGGGGCAGGCAGTGCGGGGGTCAGTCAGAGGATCTAGACAGCAACTGTGCGGGAAGAACAGGCCTCCAGAGAGAGCATGCCACATGCTGACCAGAAGACTCTTATCACAGCTAGGAGTTTTGATAAATGAATACAATTTACCAGCATTTGCTACACAGAAAATCAGGTGACCATGTGAGGTGACAGGTGTAACTCGCTCTGCTAGGGTATGTGCTTCCTGTCTAGGTGTGTGTTGAATATCGGACTTCACTTCAGATGTACCTGACAAGCTAGGAAGGGCATGTGTTGCTGGAACCCCAGCACTCCTGGGTGCTGAGGCAGGAGGGGTACAAATGGGAACCCTGGCTGGGCAGTTAGCAAGTCCCTGTGTCAATAATTGAAGTAAGAAAGGGCTGGGGATGTAGCTCAGTGGGAAAACCTAGGTTCAATCCTCAGATATGTATGTAGTAAACTTTATAAAAATAAAAAAGAGAAAGTGAGAGTCAAACTGGGCAAGAAGGGAGGCCCTAATGGCATTGTGGTCTGATGTCCCTGGCTCTGGAGAACTGAAGCCCTCAGGGCATATGC